TCTCTAGAAAATTAGGGTTTATGTTCTCATCTAATGGAGGCTCCCACAAGCCTAGTTTCCCAAGGTCATTCATGGAGGCATATGAGTGATTCCTAAAGGCAAAAGAATTACCAAGAAGATGGAGATCCATGAAAAAGGTGTCTAGCAAAAGGGATCTACAATAAGTGAGAACATTCACTTTAGAGGAGAGATCTAAGGTTTACTCAAACCTTGATGTAAGTATTCAATCTTTTAATTGAATGATACATCATGTTTTATTTTTGCATAAAACTTGTCTCTAAGTGATGAATCAAGATCTATGAATTTAAACCCCTCGAAAAGTTTTAAAACTAGCACGTTTCCCAACAGTAAGGGGAAAAGTCCTCAGTATTAAACCTCGACCAAGCATCCGGGGAGTATTCTCAGAAGTTCGACATGAGGAAAGCAGAAAAAAGGTGATGATGGATAGCCAAAATCAACCTGCTTCAACAGAAGGATCAGCCTTGGTTACCCAAAACTCCAGTCCCCCAAACTATGACAACCATCCTCGGAAAGGCAGACCATGGTGTGACCATTGCCGCAAATCAGGTCATACCCGAGAAACATGCTGGAAAATACATGGAAAACCACCAAAGTGGAAGCCAAGATCAGAAAGAGAACCACAAGGATATCAAACTGCAGCCGACGGTCAGCCACCGATCCCTGTTCCAGACAGCCATAGCTCCGGTGCCTTATCTCTCAACAAGGACCAAATGGAGCAGCTGATCAAACTCCTTAACTAGTCTAGCACAAATTCCAGCAATCCTTTGTCTTTCTTAGCCCAAAAAGGTAGTTCTAAAATTGCTTTAAGTGTCAGCAAAAAAGAACCCTGGATCATTGATTCAGGAGCCACCGATCACATGACAGGTTATGCAAATTTTTTCTCTTCATATAATCCATGTCCTGGAAATCTAAAAATAAAAATTGCAGAAGGTTCATTATCTTCCGTTACAGGAAAAAGGCTCAATTCTAATTTCAAATAGTCTAACCCTCAAATCTGTTCTTCATGTTCCTAATCTTTCATGTAATCTTTTGTCTATTAGCAAACTGACTAAGGATCTAGACTCTATTGCTAAATTCTCTAATTCCTTGTGTGAATTTCAGGAACTGTCTTCGGGGAGGACGATTGGCAGTGCTAGGGAATGTGAAGGGCTCTATTACTTTGATGAGGACTATGACATAGTCGTGAGTGGACAAGCTTAAAAAACAAGCTGTAAGAGTGAAGTTCTTTCTTTATTTGGCGAAAAAGAAATAATGTTGTGGCATCGTAGACTTGGCCACCCTAGTTTTTCCTATTTAAAAAACCTATTTCCTTCATTATTCAAGAATAAAAATCCAGCCTTATTTCAATATGAAAAATGTCAACTTGCTAAACATCATCGTACTTTTTTTCCATCTCAACCGTACAAATCATCAAAACATTTGTCCATCATTCATAGTGATATTTGGGGGCCTTCTAAAGTAACAGCTTTTACTGGTAAAAAATGGTTTGTAACCTTCATTGATGATCACACCAGAATTTGTTGGGTCTTTCTCTTAAAAGAAAAATCTGAAACTGCGCGTATTTTCAAAGAATTTCACTCCATGATCCAAAATCAGTTTCAAACAAAAATTCAAATATTAAGAACTGATAATGGTCGTGAATATTTTAACTCTGTTCTCAGTGAGTTTCTTAACAAACATGTCATTATTCATCAAAGCTCATGTGTGGATACCCCCCAACAAAATGGCCTCTCCGAAAGAAAAAACCGCCATCTCCTAGAAGTGGCTCGGTCTATCATGTTCACCTCAAATATAAAAAAAACTTTTTGGGGAGAAGCAATTCTCACTACCTCTCATCTCCTAAACCGTATGCCCACTAGAGTCCTAAATTATCAGACTCCCCTCAACTCCTTGATTGAAGCCTATCCTCATATACGTTACATTAGCAAATTACCTCTCAAAGTGTTTGGTTGTACTGCTTTCGTCCATATACATAGCCATAACCGTGGCTAGCTTGATCCAAGAGCCATAAAATGTGTGTTTGTGGGATATTCTCCTACTCAAAAGGGGTACCGATGTTATTCTCCAGAAAAAAGGAAATTTCTCACCTCCATCGATGTCACCTTTTTTGAGAACCAGTCATTTTTTTCAAAAACTGATCTTCAGGGGGAGCAACATATTTCAGAAGATCAATTTTGGGATATTTCTCTACCTAACTCAACCCCATCTCAACCAGATCAACCTCCACCTTCTCCTCCTAATCCTACTATGCCATTAACATGTGAAAATTCTCAGATAGGGGGAAAACTTCAGCAGCCGAATGAACAAGAGCTACGGGTTTACACTCGACGAAACAATCAACGAGTAATAGAGCAACCACCACCTCAGCATTGCCAAGAATCCGAACCTCAGACAGTGACTCGAAATTCTGATTCAGGTAATCTCCCATTCAAGTCTACTTCTATGCTTAATAATGAATTTGATCTAGATTTGCCAATTGCCCTTAGAAAAGGAATTCGATCATGCACCCTTCATCCTATCTCTAGATTTGTTTCGTATAAAAAATTATCACCATCCTATAGAGATTTTACCACTAATCTTTCCAGAATCGAAATTCCAAATTCTATACAGGAGGCTCTATCTATTCCAAAGTGGAGAGAAGCTGTTAAAGAAGAAATGAGGGCTCTTGAAAAAAATGGCACGTGGGAATTGGTAAACTTGCCTACAGGAAAGAAAACAGTGGGATGTAAATGGGTCTTCACTGTGAAGTACAAATCTGATGGCTCTATTGAGAGATATAAAGCTAGACTTGTAGCTAAGGGATTTACTCAGACATGTGGAGTGGGCTACCAGGAGACTTTTGCACCAGTGGCAAAACTGAACACCATCCGAGTCCTTTTATTTTTCGCAGCAAATTTGGATTGGCCTCTACAACAACTAGATGTGAAGAATGCCTTTATTAATGGAGATCTTGACGAGGAGGTATACATGGACAGACCACCAGGATTTGAAAACAGGAGCGAATCTGGGAAAGTATGCAGACTGAGGAAATCCCTTTATGGGTTGAAACAATCACCACGTGCTTGGTTTGAAAAATTCACTAAAGCAATTCGCAGCCATGGATATAGTCAAACTCAAGCAAATCATACTTTATTCTATAAACAATCTCGTGAAGGGAAAGTCACAATATTAATTGTTTATGTTGATAATATAATCCTCACAGGTAATGATCTTGAAGAAATGGAACTATTGAAGAAGACTCTAGCTAATGAATTCGAGATTAAAGATCTTGGTTTCTTAAAATATTTTTTGGGCATGGAAGTTGCAAGAACCAGCAAAGGAATCTCAGTCTCACAGCGAAAATACACTCTGGATTTACTAAAGGAGACAGGTATGCTTGGCTGTAAACCTGCTGACACTCCGATGGATCCTAATCAAAAGCTAGGACTGACAGAAGGTGGAACTCCTATGGATAAAAGCATGTATCAGCGATTGGTTGGAAAGCTGATCTATTTGTCTCACACACGTCTAGACATAGCCTTCGCAGTTAGTGCAGTCAGTCAATTCATGCATTCTCCTGGAAAGGATCACTTAGAAGCCGTGTACAGAATCCCCAAGTACCTCAAAAGAACTCCTGGTAAAGGCCTATTTTTTGGAAAACATGAAGAGAAGAAAATTGAGGCATACACAGATGCTGATTAGGCAGGTTCAATTATAGATAGAAGGTCCACTACTGGTCACTGTACGTTTGTTTGGGGAAACCTAGTAACTTGGCGAAGTAAAAAGCAAGCAGTTGTTGCTAGAAGCAGTGCAGAGGCTGAATTTAGAGCTATGGCTCAAGGTATTTGTGAATTATTGTGGTTAAAGTTATTATTACAAGAATTAAAAATTGAAGCAAATCTACCTATGAAGCTGTACTGTGATAATAAGGCTGCGATCAGTATAGCTCATAACCTTGTTCATCACGATCAAACAAAGCATGTGGAAGTAGATCGTCATTTTATCAAAGAGAAAATTGAAGAAGGAACAATCTGTATGACATTTGTTCCTACAAATAGCCAAACTGCTGATATCTTGACAAAGGGCCTACCGAGATTGAATTTCGAAAAATTAGGAGCCAAGCTGGGCATGATCGACATCTATGCTCCAGCTTGAGGGGGAGTGTTGAGAATTCTTTCTTTTTTCTCAATACGTAGTGGAGACATGGATTTATCCATGAATAGCTGGCACCCTAATCTTAGGGTGTAAATGCTGGCTGATTGTTTTTCCTATTTAATGTTGATTTGATTCTTTGTGTGTTGACTTTCCTAATTTAATTCCTATTTATTTGTTGCTTGTTTTATTCCATCAATTTAGGAAATTGAGTAGCTGGTACGTAGCCTCCAAATTTTCCTATTTATGTATTGTTTATGTACAATTTCTAAATATGCAATAAGAGAATTTCTTCTTCTCTTTCTCTCGGAGTATTCACCTATCATCATTACTAAGCAATGACTCGTACAGATATCTCTACTCAAAGCCTAATATGGCTAGCTCTTCCATGAATGCTCGGTTATTCCAGTGGGGTGAAACTAATGACTTTTGTCATCTAAGCACCAAAAATAATGCTTCAGTGCCATGACGTGCCCATGTCAAGCCAATGTTCTATTCCTTGTGCCTATATATAGTGAACTAAACTCTAACTTTGCACCAATCATACTCATGACTGACAATCAACTCGAACACTTGCGACTACAACATCCAAGGCCTGACCAAAAGTTCTTTTCAAACCAATCCGAGCATTTGGGCAGTTTACTTATTGATTGTCCACAAATGGTATACAATGCTAGTATAATTGATCTTTCTTCTTATCCTTTTTACACAAACACATCTTTTTTACCAGCCAAAGACTCAAAAGTCAGAACATCAGTAACACAAAAGCATGAAGATTGATATCCTCTGTGTAATTAGACGAGGTTTTTGGGTCCAGGAATGCTCAACTTTCCACTTTTCCTCATAAATTCTGATAGTTGTTATTAGAATGATCACCCATAATTCAGAGAAAAAGTTGAAAAATTGCATTATTCTTCTATTTATATGGTACATATTGCTATCTGGCATGGGCTCACATTCTATAAGCCGAAGCTTAAGGTTTCCATTACATACAATTAGCCTTCCCTGTCGCCTATCAAATTTATTACCCACATCCCACAATTATTTATTCTCAAACATGAATATGTATAGAAACTTTTTGATATAATGAATACATTCGTGGATGAATCTACCTGAGATATATATATATATATATATATATAGAAAAAACTCACTTGGAAAGGCCATTGATTCATGAGAACCACCTCTTTCCATTCTTTTCTCTGAGCTTCATCACAAGATCCTCACGCTGAGCCTCTACTTCAGCATATTTGAGACTCATGTTGAAGTAACGCTCACGAAGGTCTCTTAACTCTGACTCCAGAGATGACTTTGTCCGTTCAAATCTTTCTTTAGCCACTACTTCACCTTCAGCTGTGGATTTCTTGGGGGTACCTGCATGAAGGTTTCGCTCCTCGGACAAAAATCTGTAGAGAAACAGAAACTCCGTTTTTAAGTCAACTGTGGACAACATCAATGAAAAATAGGGTTTTCTCATCAGCAAATCAAATTACGTTTGGTGTAATAAGATCATTACTGTCAGTACACAATGCATGCTTACGCTGTAATCCTTTGGAAGAATAAAATGCATTACCCAGTATGTCCCACCTAGACAGATTGCTAGGAGGGAAAGATTAAAGGCAGATGTAACATTTGATATAATTTTTCACAAAACTACTGCATTAAGATTTAAACTTGCATCTTCATGCTTGTCGACATCCTTTAGAAGAATGATTCTCAAATAATTACATATTTATTTCATTAAATTGATTATTTTTTTTATTTTATTTTTTTAATGTTTCTGATTCCTGTTTGAAATGTGGGGAAAAAGGGATAAAGATTACTCAGGCAAATTGTTTTATGACTGGGGATTAATTTGCACATTGTGGGAAATAATCATGATAGCTGTAACAGATTAGATTGCCCTGTTTCAGCTTAATTGGTTTCGTTCCAGTAGCTTCACTGAGCAAAATGCAAAACTCAGCCTAACCAGTAGCCAGTAATAATTTTTTTAAAATGTTATATCAAGGGCAACAATTACAGTTCCAGTTGCTTACAAGCTAGTTCTTTTAACAAAAGAGCAGCTACGTAAAGAACATTTTTTATTTGTTTTTGTATTTAGTAGCAAAATGTCGTCATAGTATAAATTGTTAACATTTATAATTAATTGTACATTATTTACTATTAGACTCCTCTAGTCTTTCAGTCAACCCATTCAGAACAAGGAAATAAATAAATCCTTACAGAGTGTTGTTCCAAGTTTTGTGTGATGAAGAAAATAGAAGCACTTTGCAGTTTGCGACAAAAAAATCAATTGTCTCTTATTGTTTTGATCATCTATTGTTGTTCAAATTACAAAAGTGATCATGCTCAGAGACCTTACATACATGTTGCTAGCTTGATTATAGGTATCATAAAGCATAAATATAAAAAATTGGAAAGGCTTTTGTTGATAATTCAATGAAGGTTTATCTTATCAACAAATTCAAGCATGCAAGAAGGGTACTAAGTATAAATAATTATGATCAAATTATTTGTTTGGAATCCAAAATAAATTCCTTTTGTACCCACCTCTGAAGCTGAATTTTATACTTGTTATTTGCCTCTAAAGCCTCAGAAAGCTCATTCTCAAGCACCTGTATCTTTGCTACATGATCCACTTCAACAGCATTAGGACTTCCATCATGGTTACTATACTTGTCACCCTAAAATGAAAGAACAAGAAAAATGAAGAACAAGAGCGGAATACAAAATGAGAAATACAAATTGGAAATATGTTTTCATTAAATAGTGTAAATAATTGTATCATTAGCTCTGGAGGGAAAAAAGTAACAAAGAGTAAGAAACAAATGTCACCTTTCTTTTATGTCGGTCGCTGTAGGAATTCTTTTGACCTGTTTGAAGTTCTTGTGTTTGATCAGATTTCGTAAATGGCTTATTTCTGTTGTCACGATGATTGTTGCTCTTCACCATCTCAACCTGTTAATCGTAATTCAAATTAAAATCTAAATTTCTACTCCTGTTGGCATTTATTATTAACATCCAACTAATAAATTCCACATATTCTTTTCTACCCCCTCCCCTCCCCACAAGAAGAAGAAGAAGAAGAAGAAGAAGAAGAAGAAGAAGAAGGAGAAAGACACCGACCTTTTTACTCCTGGACTTGCTTCGATCCTGTTTCTCCTCCAGCAACTTCAGCTCCTGCTCAAGCGCTTGAGCTCTTTTCAGGCATTCATCCTTCTCTTCCTGAAGTTTCTCTATATTCTGCTGAAATTGCTTGTTTGATTTCTTGATTCGGCTAAGCTCATTTTTCAGCTCAGCATCCTGAGAGCACAGGGCCTCTTTTGCTTCTAAATCACCCTTCATCTGTAGAAGCTTTTCTTCTAAGGAAACTCTCTTGCGTTTGCAGTCCTCCAACTCGGACATGGCATTCTGCAAGCTAGAAACTTTATCCAAGATAGAGATCTTTTCAGCCTTCAATTCTTCACAATCTCCAAATAGCGAACTCAAAGAAGCTTCCAATTTTTCCTTTTCAATACTAGATGCATTGAGCTCATTCTTTAAAGCCAAAATTTCATCCTGAAGTTGTGCTACTTTTTGCAACTGAACCTTCAAATTGGCAGTTTCTTCAATGAGTTGTTGGCGTTCATATTCAGAAACAGTAAGCTTTAGTTCAAGATCATTCAAAGCTGTCTTAAGTTTCTCTTCACTTGACCTGTAATTTCCTAACAACTTCAACATTTTCTCGTGGTCAGCCACAAGTATTTCACGGCTTTGATTGGAAGCAGCAAGCTCAACCATCAAACCCTGTACCTTTAGATCCGATTCCATCCGGACTGTACCAAGTTCACTGTCAATCAACATAACTTTACATTGAACTTCTTGAAGATCAGATTCCAGTTTCGCTTTATCAACAAGTAAACTTGATACTTCATGAATAGCTTCAGAGGCTAATCTCTCTCTTTCATCATGAGTAGCAGATATTTGCTTGGTGAGGTTTTCTACCTCCCTCTGAAGGTTCTCAACTTCAGTTGACTTTTCCAAGTACATCTTATTAAATAGATTTTCTCCCAGAACAAGTTTCTCCTTTTGTTCCATGTTTTCATGAAGAAGTCCATTTAATTCTGAAGTTAGGCTACTCTCTTTTGAAGCAAAATCTTCAAGCATGAAAGAAAATCTTCCTTCTAAATCTTCAACTTGTTTAGAGCAATCAGAAAAACTCTTTCGTGATTCCCTCAGTTCAGCCTCTAAATGTGTACAACACTCATGCAATTCCAATTTTTCATTCTCCAATTCTCTATTTGATTTCTGAAGAGTGTTGCATTCTTCAGAAAGACTCTCAGCAGATGCTACTAATTTCTGAAATTTTATTTTCAGATATTCACGCTCCTCTAGAGTTTCTGACCATTGATTTTGCATATCCTGCAACTTATGTTCGAGATCCAATTTTTGTGTCTCCATCTCAATTTCCAATTTTCTGATATCACTTTGGAGACTTATAGCAGCAGATTTGGAATTCTCCAGTTCTACTCGAGCAGACTCCCTCTCGTCCGTCATACACCTCAGTTGAGCTTCTAAGTCAGATATGCGTTCCAATAACTGCACGTTTTCTTCTTCCAGCTCCAATAAATGGAGCTCTAATTCACATTTTGCACTTTCTAGGTCTGAAGATTTCCTTTCAAGAATATTGTTAGCTGAAACATGGGAATCCACACTAGTGCTAAGAACCATTAAATCATTTCGCAAATCATCCAAGCATTTTGACGTGATGTTACTTTCCCTCTGCAGAATTTCCTTGTTTTCTTCCAGCTGGTTCTTTTCTTCATGAAGAACAGAAATCTGAGCTTCTAGTTCTTTCTGACACTGTCTAAGAAAGTTAATTTCCTTTTCCTTTGACAGCAAATCGGGCTCAAGTTTCTCTGTCTCAGATCTTTTTTCGGCCATTTCCTTCCTGAGATTGGTCAGATTAGCTTCTAGCTCTATCTTTGAACTCTCAAGTTCTTGAATGGAAAGATGAAAATTGTTTTCTTTCAAAATGTAATCTTCCAGCTTCTTTTGAGCATCTGCAACATCAACTTCACTACATTTAAGAATTTCTTCACACTCATGTATCCTTACTTCCAATAATTTGTTCAGCTTAGCAAAATAATTCAAGATGCAGTCAGCCCATTGTTTCGGAGCAGTCATATATGTACTGTTCAAGTTCTCCAAATTATTTAGATCAGATTCAAACTCGTCAGTTAGATTAGGAAAGATACTATACCATGGTTTCTTGATATGACAGAAAGCAATCTGAAGCTGTTTTACCAAATCATGGAATACATTAGACGTCTCAAAAGCAGCAAGCTGGTCCTCCTCGATCACTCTCTTCTTGAGCCCCTCTTTCAGAAAATCAATTTGGGACTTAAGGTCGCACACCTCAGACTCAGAACTGGTGGAAGATTTATCCTGAATCTCACTGGATGAAGAATCAAAAGATTTGCATTCTCTCATTGAGTTGTTCTTCAAGTCCTTAAGCTTGAATAAGAGCTCCAGGTTTTCATTGGTCAGCTCATTACAATCACTCTCCAGCTCCTCCATCTTTTCTTTCAAGGTCTCAATTTCTCTTGTCAGATCCACAACGCTTCTTCTGTTAGTGAACCCTGTCTCATCTGATTGGCTCAAATTTGCCTTCAAACTGGCTATTTCTTCTTCTTTAGCAGATAAGTTACGCTTATATTCTGTCTCGATATCCAGAAGGGCCTGGTTATTCAGAGAACGTTCATTCTCTATCTCATTGTTTTTGTCCTCCAAGGCTTGTTCAAGAAATCGCACATTGACGTGCAACTTGTTCTCTGATTCCTGCAACTGTTGCAGTTGGAGTGACAGGATTCTGTTTTCCTCCAAATTTTCTTGGATAGAGTGCTCCATATCACTGAATTTCAACTGCAGCACTGAAAGATTCTCTATCTCAACTTTCTGCTTTTCTATGGTGTCTTCTAGTTCTTGAAGAACGGTAAGAAGCTCAATATTTGATTCTTGACTCCTCTTCAACTGTAGAGCCAAATTAACATTTGATTCTTGCTGAAACTTCATCTCATTTACCAATTCCTTCTGAATACAGACAGCACCTTCTGATTGAAATTTTGAATCCTCCATGGCTGTTTGTTTCACCACTGATTCCTCCAATATTAGTTTTAGTTGCTCAACTTCTTTTTTAAAGCCATCCCGTTCTGTATGTGCTGCTGAAAGCTCCATATTTAGGTTTGCATGTTTCTTTGACTGATCAGAGAATTCCTTTCTCAATATATCCAAATCAAGCATTATCTTCCGGGCACGTCTCTCCCACATCTTAGCTTCTGCACGAAGCTCATCAATTGTATCTTCTGCAGCTTCCAGAAGGTCTTTTGAGGAATCAGCATTTCTCAGAGATGATGAGGGAATAACATGTGAAGAACTTTGCTCAAATTCTTGCCAATGGTTCTGAGAATCATCTCCTGAACCTGTAACCTTTGAATTAAATGATGATTGATTTGACTGAGAATGATCATCGGCAGGAGAATCTCCATGAGGTGAACTATTCTGGAAGCTGGTTGAATCTCGCCTTTCAGCCAGGTTGCCCCTGTCAACTTTCAAATTGTTTCCTGAGGAGACACTTCCCCTACCTAGAGAATCCTCTGCAGAGTTAAAACTGTGATGTGAACCAGATACGGAGAAACTTGTTTCCTGCAGTGAGGTGGGGGGGCCATGTTAGTTATATGGTAGCAAAAGAAAGAGAGAATATATGATGTATAATAGCTGTTTGTGCAAAGCTATCCAGTATGCGGAAAGTACATCAGAAAAATGATTTCTGCTCAAACATTTTCAGTAAACTAGTAAACATCATTATTAAATATCATTTTTCCATCATGATCCACCATGACTTGTAGCAGTATTTCTGTTCATAAGCTTTCAAATGCAGCATGCGTTGATTGATTTCTGTGAAAATTTTAAAAAGGACCATCTTGTAAGTTAAAAGAGAAGAAATTAACTGAAGTTACATACTATTTTTTCCCCAATAGAGTATTTTAGTGCTCCTAGAAGTGCACACCGCTGCCTTGTGATTAACCTAAGCAACTGAAATTTTAAAGAGCTATCAAATGCTAAACATATTCAACACGTCTTCCCAATGATGATTGGTGTAAAAGACATGTGGGTTCAACCTGTCAACAAATGTCTAATAAGAAGTTGGAATTTGCAAAAAGACACCCCTTTTCACTTCATAATTATGCAGAAAAACCTGTAGAGTCATAAAATCATGGCAGCATATTTTTACTTTATCTTTTGTCTTCTTTTTTAGTTGCTAAGGCAGAATAGGTTTACCTTTTTTAATGGAAGTGTACTTCAACTTCATATTGAAGAAAGCTCTCTATAGTTCTCAACACACAACCACACTCAAAAGTCAAAACACATAAATGAATATAAATTGTCCAATGTTCCTAGCAGCCCATTCACAAATATACATATATATAGCTTTAACTATGTTGAGATTTTTGTAGTAGTATCTAATGCACATTTTCGTAGATTTCCGTTTTCAAAGAATTTTCTATTATTTTAGAAACAAAGCATTATTGTTATAATATGGAGGACAAATCATATAAGCTCAATGGTAATAAACAGAATAACAATACATCATATATGTTCCACGAGTGGAGATCATAATTGAATGTTCACGTAACTTTTTAACCATGTGAATAAACCAGACCCAATAAAATAGCTGTAGCATTAGTGTGATTCTAAGAATGGACAGGTTGCTAGAGCTTCTCAAGAAAGTGGAAGGAGTGTGCACTACAACTCAAAAATTCCTACAGGACAAATCCTCATCAAAAGCAACCAGAGCAAGAGCCCCTCACAGAAGGCAAGTACAACAGAAATACTGTCTTTAAGCCTGGGACCATGTCTGTGGTGCAACTGATTGTCACCTAGGAGTTTAACAATTGGATTGTGGGTTTGGTCCACCTTATGTATCAAAAGGATTCAATTTTCAAGTTCATGTGGCTCAAATGGCCTATAGTAGTGGACAATATTGTCTTTTCTTGGTATGAATTTCATTACCGAAAAAGAAAGATAAACAGAGAAAGCCCAAACATGACTGCAGATAAAACCTGCAAACTCAAGGACATATCAAAACAATCACAGCTCAAGTGGAATGCCAAAGAAAGCAAAGCTAGAAGCCCACAAGACAAAAGCCTCTCACATCCCATTAGACTAGGATAAAAGAAACCTAGCATAAAGAGAGAGACCCCATCAATTGAAACCCCAAGCTTCGGCTATCAATGCTAAAAGGTATTATCCTATTATATTGGGATGACGAAGAAGAGTGATGGGGAGAAAAGCTACTATCTGGAATAATTGAGGCCAAATTGAGGACCTCAAACCCATTTACCTCGTCAGTTTTATAGGACCCCATAACATTCTTACTTATTTTCAGGCTCCTTTTACCTACTTGAAGTTTCCATACTTCGACGCCTACTTGCACTATTGTTTTTTGAAGGAGAAATGCAAATAGAATTCTTACTAGGCTTCTTCCTTTTGAACCTTCACCCAATCAACATTTACTTCTTCTGGACAACCACTTTCAAAATTCTTACATCCTCCCTTTCCTGTGACCTACTCTTGTGCATCTCTCTGATAGAACGATGAGTGAAAAAAAAATATTTAATGGAGAACAATTGCCAACATAGAATCTTGAACTCAAAACCTCTCAGAACTAAAACATCGTTACCATGTCAGACAATCAATTGCGCCAAAAGCTTAAGTTGTAAAGGAACAGTCCAAATGTAAATGATGCTATAACAGATATGAAAGAGTGAGACCTTGGTATTTGATATTGCACTCTGACAGAAGTTTCAATTTATTTTTGCTAAATTGACAACCTTTAAGCTTCAAGCATTGGGTGCTTAATGAAAATATTATATTACAATTTCTGCGAAATTGATGAAATGTGATAATTTTTTATGAGAAAAACGATTGACTGATGAAATCAAGAATGCGCAAAGAAAAAAAAATTGAAACTTAAAATTTTTTTTAAATTGAGTTGGAAAATTGTGACTGAAAATATTATATTACAATTTCTGCGAAATTGATGAAATGTGATAATTTTTTATGAGAAAAACGATTGAATGATGAAATCAAGAATGCGCAAAGAAAAAAAAATTGAAACTTAAAATTTTTTTAAAATTGAGTTGGAAAATTGTGACTGAAAATGTAAACATACCCTGCTCTCAACTTCTCTTGGTTGTGAGGTAGAGCCCAAATCTTTACTTGATGAAGATCCAGCACTCCTGGCAAATGAATTATCAGACCCGTTTGACTTGCTATCCACATCTTGAGAAGCTGCATTCTGATCCTCCTTTTGATAAATTGAGTCTTTTGATTCTTCATCCCTGGATGAGATATGCAGCAAATCTTCAGAATTAAACAAAACATAAAAGCTCAAAATTAGAACAATGAAATTCCACCATAAATAATAAACCTCAGTTTTGTTCTTGGTGTTAGGCAGTGAATTTTAACCTGTAAATCAGACGGACAAGGAAAACAATGTTAGAGGAAGTAGTCCGGATTAGATGGCTTCTCACTTTGGTAGCTCCAAAACTTGTAAAAGCAGAGACAATGCAAGTTGACTCAGGAGGTGGAGGGAAAGAGAAAAATATTTGAATCTCTTCTATCTGGAGTATTAACTTCAAGCATCTCAAAAATTACTCTGAGAAAATAATATAGACATTTCTAAAAAGAATTGATCCTATCATGCATAAAGGAAAATAAAATATCAAAGAAAAAACCTTCTGCATCAATCTGATCTCCCTTAACATTGTCCTTCAGAACAGAACCTTTTTTTCCCCCTCCTATCATGAACTTCATATTTTGTTCTTCATTATTTGCAGTAGAATATGATAACCCATTATCAAAAAATTCAAATGGCTAAACCTTAACCATTATTTCTGCTGAGCAAATGTTGGTGTAGACATCGGTATTTTAGGGTTTGCAAACGTTCAATGGAGCACTAACATAAGAAATGAAATTTTAAGATAGCATGTGACTGTGGTGGTTGTTCGGTTACTTCCACATCCTCAAGCAAGGGGAAATATTGCTCTGTTTTTTCAATTGTGAATTTAAGATTTTTAGAGAATTTTTTTTTGACCATTACAAATAATTTTCTCCAAACTCTTTCAGAAAAACTAGAAATAGTTAATATGAACCTTTAGCCTCGAGGGAGAATGCGTACTCTACAATTTACTGCACAAAAGGAATGTTCACCATGTAATTTTCTTTGTTTATCAACAGTAAAATCCAAAGAAAACACCATCCCTGCCTTTAAGATGCCATGCAAACACTTAAACCACAGTACTACAATGGCTTTGGCATGATCTGCATGTAATTGAATTAAAACAAAAATAAAGGATATCTGACAAAGCAAAATAGGATCGCCTAATTCCTTGTGCATGGTCAGCAGCAGTAATTAGGTGATGCAGGTTTTTTCTGAAAAACTATTTACTCAAAAGAGAATTCAAATATCTCCTGGCCTGGTGCTTTTCAAAATTTGAAAAACCTTATTTTAACTTTTTTGTGTACTTGGATTGGAGTGTGAATTAGATTTCAATGCTAATAAGTTAATCCATGGGTTTGTGCTTCAGTTACTCCAAATTCAAATGACTATGCTTTAAACGAAGTTGATAATCAGTCGAAATTTGGGTGGGGAATGTTCAAGATTTCCAGATAATTTGAGTGAGGTTTGATGTCAGCTACATTTAATGAAATTATCTTTGAAACTTTACTAAGAAATATCTACTATCTATAAGTAGCTATAATTTATAACTTGAAGTCCATAAGAGCCATATGTTGATAATATGATTTCAAGTTCTATTTTTTAGTACCAAAAAAACTACAAATATCTATGAGGCCTTGGGAAATGCAGACACAAGGAAAAAGATGTAAGTTGGATCAAACAAGTGTATTACTCACTTGTAAAACTGTCCCATGATTGCATTTCTTCAATGGCAACAAAATTGGAACAGAATTCCTTGAACTCATATAGCCTGCCATATTCACAATAGCCTCTCCAAGGATGCCGGATCTTGCTGATCCCTGTAATAGATATAGTCATTTCAATATGACCTATGTCATCCTCAAACTTTAATATTGTAAGGAAAATAAAGGGGGGTAACCATCAAATAAATAATGCTGAGCACTCAGAGTTGATGACAGGAATAATTACTACGACAAGAGCAATGATAACGATAAGCCAACAAATAAATCAGCGTAGGCATCATACCATGGTAACAACAAGCTTGAAGAGACACTCTTCAAGCTCTTTTGAGGAATCATCTTGTGAAATCCAGATAGATTCCGACAAAGTCTCCGCCCATTGACAAATTCCATTCCGCACTAGTGCTTTACTTGATTTTGCAATCGTTTTCCCTGTTTCTACATTGATAATAGACACAAAAAGCTTGTCCCATCCTTTCGGAACCTATTATCACAACATCATAGTCAAGAAACACTTGAGCAAGAATTACTGAATACAAATAGATAAGTATATATATCAGGGGAAATGGAAGCATCAGATGTAAATAAGTCGTCACAACACAAAAGTTTAACACCATTCTAGCATAGTGATAATTGTCTTGTAAACTATAATTGGTGACTTTAAAATGGTTGCTGACTTCCATCGGCGACTTTATGGTACTAAAAAATCAAAAATTTCGATGGAAAAATAAATCAGATTGACCAGAGAGCTACTGATGGTTTCCATTACACATATTTTAGCAACAACAACAGTTGTCATAAATTGTTCTAAGTAGAACAAACGTTACTATGTCCATGTTGAAGCCTTCATCAGTACTATTTTCAAAATGGTGGTCTTGTATTAATCTGAAGTTACATTGTTAATAACATTAAGGATCATCAAAATTCAAGAAAAAGGTGTATACTTGTTTTTCTGAAATAAATCATTAGAATTAGCAATGAGTCAGAAAATCATACAAACAATCTTATTTCATTAAAGGTAAGAAATCGATTAATTAGATTCCAATAATAGAACCAATAATTGGAGATTAAATTATAATAGAAAAGAGAAGTCAAGACATTGAGTGATACCTTATTGGCTTGAAAATTGGAGAATTTGAAATCAATTCTCTCTCCTGATTTGGATGGCTTGGTCTGCCTGTGTAACCTGAACATCGTCTCTCACTTGATCTTGCACCAATGTAATTACTCTTGCATATTGAAATTAATGTGGTTTCACCAACACCATTACCACCTCAGAGAAGAGAGAGAGAATTTTAGAAAGAGAATAGAAATGACAGAGACAATGGGACTGAGTGACAGAAACAAGGTGCGTTGTGTGTGTGTGAGAGAGAGAGAGAGATTAGCTAGCTGGTCATTGTACTCGAGGGTGTCATATTATTTTCAAATTCTTGGGCTTTTTTTTTTTTGTTTTCAACTGTTGAAAAGAGAGAAAGAGAATATGGAATTGAAAGTGTCATGTGCACCCAATACCAAAGCGGAAACAGCCGGCCCGTTGTGAGGTACATATAGTCAAATATATACATATATGTTAAATAATCTACATATGGCTTCAGCCAAAAGTATTGGAACGTGCTCTATTATAGAGACACGTGTCCCGAATCACTACGTGTCTATTCCTGATTTGTTCCAAATCTGTAGAGGTCAATGCATCGATGGGAGTGTTTCGACATTACGCGAGGACATGGGTGTTAGCGGTGTTACGGCGCGTGGTAGCAAAAACGACGATGTTTACAAACAAACAAAAGAAATACACTTTGGGGGATATGAATATATGGATTTATTGTATACATATAAATTCTTCTTGTTTGGAATCATACGTATTAATGTTAATATAAATCAAGGTGGGACTGTCAGACCAACAACCACCATCTCGACGACATCGACGAATATCATGCCTCCGGGCGATACATTCTATAATATATATATATATATATATATATATATTATAGTTTTTCTGAAAATATAAAACGGTTTCGTATTTACAAGTTCAAAATTTTAAACTTGTTCCTAAAATAATATTACATGTTTTAAAATGACGTGCTGTATATTTGTGGGTAAAAATTTAGGATTAGGATACTCTAAAAAGAAACAGTGAAATCGCTCTCTCTCAATCGCGCTTTTTTTGATTTTAGTCAAATCTTCATTATATGTAACAAACAACATTCAAAATTTATGTGGCGGCACACACTTGGATTTGAAATTTGAAAAAAATTTGTATAAATTTTGAATTAAAATTTCTTAAATCTCAAATTTAAAATACATTGGGAACCCTCAAACATAGCATAAATAAAATTTCACTTGATTTCTATATTTATAGGGATGATTTTCATGCCCTCTATGAAAAGGGTTCTGTTTCACTCTACACTTTATTTTCACATCCTTAAGCAAATCAAGCGATTTTTTTTTTCTTCTTCTTCTTTCACTTTATTATTATTTACGTGCGGCAAAGAACAATGTATTCATGGGTTAAATTCTGTTTGGGAGTACTAAATGGGTGCTTTGCACTGAAAATGTATTCATGGGTTAAATTCTGTTTGGGAGTACTAAATGGGTGCTTTGCACTGAAAATGTATTTATGAGTTAAATTCTATTTGGGAGTACTAAATCGGTGAGTGCAAGTACTTGGCCTACACAGCACAACTCATACCAAATCCTGATAAGCTCAGTTTTAGTATTCCTCTGCCATGTCATCATGCTTGCCCTTAGCCCCTGAATTGAGAGTCACCACCACCACCACAAGTATGTGTCTCATCTTCGTCCCCACTTTGCTTGGTGTGCCTCAACCTCATGACAGTTCTTCATGATGAGATTGTACCCACTCCCAGAATAATAACCAACACCAACGACATATCCACTATGGTTAACATTTAAGTAACATTATTAACAATCATGCATAACGGCCGGAGGTTCGGACAATAACATGTTAAATAATGCATCTGTCAAATTCTAGATCTACCTGGTTTACCAAATGCAGATGCTAAGTTTAAAAAAAAAAGAGATTGTTCTTAGATTTACACATTACATGGAAATAAGAAGCATGCTCATGTATATTTCTACATAACTACAAATAGGAGTATATTGGAAACATGCCCAACATTTAACATTATTTTCCACAAAATGACTTCTTTAGAACATGAAATGTAGGTTCATATATGTTCTTCTTAACAAAATGAATCATTCATCGGCATGTAAAACATACTCGACTGATACACCTGCACTTTCCGTGTTTTTAAATTCATATCTAGAAATATAGGTTCATATAAAACCAATGAAACCTTTAATGCATTTGAGTCGCTAAGGGAATGAAAAAACATAGAATTAAAATAGAAAATGTATTTTGTAATTGTAAATAAGATTTAGTCCTCGTTGAGTAATTCTGTTGTCCAGCCGCACAAGTAGCCACATTTCGATGCATGGCGTAAAATAAAAGTAGCCACCTTTGAAATGATGTACAAAACTCAGCAGCTTGATGAGTCATATGTTTCACAATGGAATATTACAATTACAATTTGTCAATACTTACAATATATACTATTACACGAGCTTACCTAGAAGATGAGGATGAACAAAATGCTGACTTAGTTTGCCGTAGGGTCACTTTCATGAATAGACCCTGCAACAATTGCACACTTTCAATGAAAAACATGAAATATATGAAAGTACCATCCTATTTATTCATATTCTTTTCTTTTTTCTTTTTTCTTTTTTTAATTATTTTTAACTTCTCAAAACAAATATATATTTATACATATACTTTTTTATTTGTCCTCTATTTGCAGTACACCGCCTTATTCTCTATAAACTCGTGCATATAAATTCAAGAACATCTAAAAAAGCTAAAACTGTAATTAGAAACCAGGGTTGATGCATAACTACGAAGCAGACTTTTAAACTAATTCAGATGAGATTTTGATTATGCTTTTACACTAATTCAGATATACATGTATCACATTCTGACAGTTTCAGATGCTTTTGTGCATAAATGGATTTTAATGATGGGAGTAAATCTACATTGATTCAATAATAAATCCCATTTTGAATTACCCAATGCATGTGGGGTGATGGAAGGGAAAGAGTGGAGACAAACCTAATCTTGGCTTCTTTTTTTGTTGTAAAAGTGGCCGCTCCTAAACTCAGACCCTTGACCTTGCGCCTACCAGTCCTAGTGTTTACCAGAGCGACAAACAATGACTAAACAATAAATCCATTCTTTCAGATTTAAATCCCTACAGATCTTGAAGGAGCTAGAGATCGAGACCATTCTTTTAAGCGGGCCAAAACAGACTATAAGTTATTTAAATTTAGATTTTAATCAATGTTGACGGTCACCTATCATTTTTAAGTGACCAACATGCCTATTTAAGCTGCTGCAAACTAACCTGAAACCCCTTCACAGTTCCTATTGTAGGACAGTGACACTGGCAATTACAAATTATTCAGATTTAATTTTTTTTTTAGATACATGCATGTGTTTGAATCCAAGATTTATAAGATTGAGATATTACATTTGTTGTGTGAATAGTGGCTCCAGTTGTCATGTTAATATTCTGATCTGGAACCAACTCAAAATTCATGTGCTGCAGAAAGATTGCGAGAGCAACAATGGCTTCCAACAAGGCAAACTGATCACCAACACATTTACGAGGTCCTCCACTAAATGGGATGAATCTGCATTATATAATTATTTTAAAACCAGAATTCAAAGTTCTGAACAGATGCTAAACAGCATACACCAACTCAAAGCATTAATAATGGACTCACTTCCCAAAACATGCACAAGTTCCAGAAATGAGATTAAAAAAAAGTTGAAGGAAATGAATACCTAAAATCAGTATTTGTTTCATTAGGCATTGGGCCTTCCAAGTCAAATCTTTCCGGCATAAACTCTTCTGCTCTCTCCCAGACCTCGTATATTCAGATCACATATCAGAATGAAACATTTTACATAACAGTTACAAGTGTGGTTGACGAGAAAAAGGAGGAAAGAATTATTATTATTATTTTTTCAGTTATAGTCATTGAGGGAAACAGATTAACTAGATGGACATATAAATTCTGTGTAGCATTTAAATCCGCTCAAAGCTTAGTGGTAAAAGATATTGCAAATATGTCAATCTTGACGTGCTGTGTGAAAGCAAATTAATTGCTCATGCAGCAAGTTCAGTTTATGAATGTTCAAACTGATAAAAGGGAGAGAGAGATCATGGCTACAGCAACTGTGTATATCATATACATCACATAACCTAATAAGCCTATGTAGACTTATATAAAGGATACAAGGTTAACTAAATAACACAAGGGCCTACTAACTAAATGTAATTACATAATGACCCAACATCTATATATATATAAAAAAACATTCTAACACTCCCCCTCAAGCTGGAGAATATATATCAAATAATCCCAGCTTGTAACAAATAATTCTTAACCGGTTACGACCCAGCGCCTTGGTAAACATATTAGCTAATTGATCTTCAGACTTCACGAATGGAGTAGAGATGCTCCCACGTAATATTTTTTCTTGAATGAAGTGACAATCAACTTCAATATGTTTGGTCCTCTCATGAAACACAGGATTTGATGCAATGTGAACTGGTGCTTGATTATCACAGAACAATGGAGTAGGAGCTTCAACTGTTAACCCAAGTTATTCTAGAAAATATTGTATCCATGTCAACTCACTAGTGGTATGAGCCATTGCCCTATACTCAGCAGCATTAGACCGAGCTACTATCGTTTGCTTTTTACTTCGCCATGTAACAAGATTTCCTCCTACAAATGTACAATAACCTGTAGTAGATCTCCTGTCTGAAGAAGAACCAGCCCAGTCGGCATCTGTAAAACCTTCCACCCTAAGATGACCATTTGATTTATATAGTAACCCAAAACCTGGAGCTTGCTTAAGATATCGGATAATCCGAAGAACAGCAATCCAATGTGGCATTCTAGGGGCTCCCATGAACTGACTTACAACACTAACTGCATATGAAATATCAGGTCGAGTGATAGTGAGATAAATTAATTTCCCAACAAGACGACGAAATCTGCCTAGGTCATTAAATAGCACCCTCATAAGACACAAGTTTTATATTTGAATCCATTGGAGCATCAACTGGACGACCACCCAACATACCTATTTCTTCTAATAAGTCCAACACATATTTTCGTTGGGCTAAACTTATACCCTTCTTAGATCTAGCAACTTCAATACCCAAGAAATACCTAAGTTTACCCAAGTCTTTAGTGTGGAATCGATATTGCAGAAACAACTTCAACTTAGCAATGCCTTCAGAATCATCACCTGTGATCACAATATCATCAACATACACCACAAGAAATATGAAGCCAGCTTTAATGCGCTAGTGAAATACCGAATGGTTGGTCTGACATCTGTTAAGACCAAATTTTAAGGCCGCCTAAGAAAATTTTCCAAACCAAGCCCGTGGAGATTGTTTCAATCCATACAGGGCCTTTTTAAGGCGACAAACAGTGTGAAGATACTCCCCCTGAGCAACAAACCCATGTGGTTGCTCCATATAAACCTCTTCTGCCAAGTCACCATGCAAAAAGGCATTTTTAACATCTAACTGAAACAGAGGCCAATGCCTACTAGCAGCAAGAGAAATCAAAACATGAATAAATGAAATCTTAGCAACAGGGGCAAACGTCTCATCATAGTCGATACCATAAGTTTAGGTATAACCTTTGGCAACAAGACGTGCTTTAAACGCGCAACGGACCCATCTGGAAGATACTTCACAGTATATACCCAGCGACAACTAACAGGTTTGGCACCTGGAGATAATGGAACAAGATTCCACGTGCCATTCTGATGCAAAACATCCATTTCATCTTGCATTGCTTTCCTCCAGCCCGAATCAGACAAAGCATCCTACACAGTCTTAGGAACAAATGTAGTAGACAATTGAGAGGAAAAACATGAGAAGGATGGCGATAAAGAATTATAAGAGACATAATAAGCAATGGGATGATTAGTGACGCACGAGCGAATACCTTTACAAAGTGCAATAGGAAAGGAATCAGACACAGTGGATGGTGTTGGATCCAAAGACTCTAAAGACGATGGAGGTGGCACGACAGCAGATGGCTTTGGTCTTCGAGTGTATACCTGTAACGGGGCAGGCGAAGGAGATCTAGGTTGAAGAGACAGTGAGGGAAGAGAAACCGCAGGAAGAGGCGACTCAGGAGTGATATCAAGAATTGAATCAGGATCTGAAAAATATGGGATGGACTCACAAAAGGTTACATCCGCGCTAACAAAGTACCGTTGAGAAACAGGACTATAGCAGCGATAACCTTTATGAGAACGAGAGTAGCCAAGAAATACACACTTTGTGGCACGGGGGTCCAGTTTATCAAAAGCAGGACCAAGATTGTGGACATAACATACACAGCCAAAAACTCTAGGAGTAAGAGAAAACAAGGGAGAATTAGGAAATAAAATAGAATATGGAGATTTGCCATCTAATACAGAAGAAGGCATACGGTTAATAAGATGACACGCAGTAAGAACAGCATCACCCCAAAACCGTTTAGGCAGACGCATATGAAAGAAAAGAGCACGGGTTACCTCTAAAAGATGTCGATTCTTACGTTCTGCGACTCCATTTTGTTGAGGAGTATAAACACAGGAATTTTGATGAATAATTCCTTTATCACTAAGATATGTATCAAGGGGGGTTGCAGAATATTCCTTAGCATTATCAAAACGTAGAATACGAATTGGGCATCCAAAATGAGTTTTGATTTCTTTTCGAAATTTTTGAAAAATTAAAAATAACTCGGAACGATCTTTTATTAGAAACAACCAAGTCAGGCGAGAATAATCATCCACAAATGTCACAAAATAATGAAATTTATTGATTGAAGAATGTTTTATTGGACCCCATACATCTGAATGAACCAAATGAAAAGGACTTGAAAGACACGCGATGGTGTTTACTAAGTTGACAAACTTCACATGACAAAAATTTTAAATGACTAAGACTAGGAACTTGACGCTTTAAAACTTGAAATGACGGGTGACCAAGCCGACAGTGCCACTGGAATGGAGACAAAGAAGACTGAAGAGCCACAGGATAAGGTTCCAAATCAAAGTAATATAAGCCACCAGCTTCATGTCCCATACCAATCATCTTCTTCGTCTTGAGATCCTTAAACACACAAGAAGTAGGATAAAATGTAACAGAACACTGGAGTGATTTAGTAAGCTTACTGATAGACATTAAATTAAAGGGAAACTGAGGAACATATAAAACAGAAGAAAGAGACAAGGAATCACTAAGTTGAGTTGACCCCAAACCTGAAACCATAATGGAAACCATTAGCAAGTGTGACACTTTAAGAGGAAGGTACAGAATTAAAATTAGATAGAAGAGAAGAACATCCAGTCATATGATCGGATGCTCTAGTGTCTATGATCCAAGGACTGCGAGTGGAAGACAATAGGCATGTGTGTGCAGTACCTGACTGGGCAAAAGTAGCCGTGGAAGATGAATTAGATGCTTGCTTATAAGACAAAAACTGAGTATACTCATCACGTGGAACAGGGACTATATCTGATTCAGCTACATTGTGAGATCCAGAAGCAACATCATTCGGAGAGGAGGAAACCTGATTTGCATAACTAGATGGTTTGCCATGAAGGTCCCAACAAAAATTCACAGTATGATTAGAAAGGCCACAATGAGTGCATTTTCGTGATTCCCTGCCTCGGCCACGTCCTCTCCGTGAATCACGACCACCACGTGTGGAGCGTCCCCCACGACCGCCACGGTAAGCACTATGGTCACTCTTTGAAACTACCAATGTTGAACGATCACCACTCTGCCAAGTATTCAAAGTTGAGGTATCACTGGCAAGTGTAGCACGCTAAAGTCGAGAAAACACTTCAGCAAGAGATGGAAGTGTGGGACTGCCCATAATCTGTGCACGAAAAGACTCATAGACTGATGACAAACCAGTAAGAAAACGGACAACATTAAAGTCCTCACGTTGTTGTTGCATACTACGAACATCAGTGGTAATGGGATGATACATATTCAGCTCCTCACAGACTCCCATAACTTTGGAATAATACTCTTCTATACTGTGATTACCTTGTTCAAGACTGAAGTACTGCTTACAGAGCTTATAAACACGAGTGATATTACCTGTCCCAGAATACAATTGTTGCAATCTGTCCCATATCTCCTTCGCAGTGTCCAAATAGAGTAAGGTTGAACTGATTTGAAGTTCAATACTGTTTAACATCACAGAGATGATCTGAGCATCTTCCTTTTCCTATGTATCAAAAGAAGCATCAGTGGCCTTGAGTTTACCTTTAGTCAGATGAGTACCAAGACCTCTACCCTTGAGAAAAATTGCAACAGATTTAGCCCACAGTATGTAATTCTTCCCATTGAGTTTAACTGAAGTCATAGGAGAATGAAGATGGGATGTGGAAGAAAGCAAATTTGAACTGGAAGCCATGATGAACCCAGCAAAAACAGAGAAAAAGAAAAAAAAAAATGGCAGAATATGTATTCTGGCCGAACCTGGGAAAACGTGCCGAATGTGAAAAACGGGCCGGATCTGGTCAAACGGGCCGGATCTGGTCAACCGGCCGGATCTGGGCTATCCCAGGTTTAGTAAACCAGGGTTGGAATAGGTTCACTCCTGCAACCAAACACCACCCTTCTCCTTCACAATTCTCGCCGGCGAGAACCAGAACTCTGCCACCGATAAGAAATTCCAGCACCTGAGATTCGCAATGGAAAAACAAGGCTAGTACACACCCTAGCCCTTGCAACAGTGACGACAACCCAACAAAAAAAAAACGATCTAACAAAGGAGAGGAGATGGATCACAATGATGGAACCTCTGCAAACTTGCGACAGCCAAGGAAGCCTCGGCCAGCAAAACGAAAGGCTTCAGATATAAGAACGACGGACAAGAAGCGCTGAACACAACGACAGCTTCAAACCTCCGGCTCTGAACAGAACGGCGGCCAAATCTTCAACGAAGAACAAAATCGGTTTCGATCTTGATTTCGATTTGTAGAAGAACAACCCAGATGCAATCACAACTACAATCTTAGGTTTCCCATTGTTTCGTACCGCTCTGAAACCATGTTCAAACTGATAAAAGAGAGAGAGAGAGATAGAGAGAGAGAGAGATCATGGCTACAGCAACTGTGTATATCATATACATCACATAACCTAATAAGCCTATGTAGACTTATATAGAGGATACAAGGTTAACTAAATAACACAAGGGCCTACTAACTAAATGTAATTACATAATGACCCAACATTTATATATATATATAAAAACATTCTAACAATGAAGAAAGCTAACTTAGTCCTAATGAGTTTATGATGGTGGAAAATTGACATCTGGAAAGGGACCAAATTTTAAAACTTCAATTTAAATTTCAGCCCAATCACAGAAGAAAGCAAATGCAACCCGGTTTAGAGATATTACATTAACCAATATACTTTTTTGCAATATAAACATTATGGAGATACCTGTGGAGAATGATGAATATTATACACTGAAATCATTATATCTTGACCAGCATTAACCTTGTAATTTCCAGGAAGTACATCAGCAACTTGAGCTCTTCTTATCAAGACCTGGTAATTTTGGTGAGCAGAAAGAAGAAAGTCCATTACCATGAATTCACTTTACAAGAGGGGGGAGAGAGAGAGAGAGAGATTATAACCTACAGGAGGATGTGGGTAGAGACGCATTGACTCATTAATACAACGCATCAGAAACTTGAGATCCTTTATATCTTCATAGCCAGGAGGCCTTCCCTGTAAAACTCTGTCAACTTCTTCTTGTGCTTTGATTAAAGAAGAGGGGTCCTGCATGAAAAAGATGGAACAACAAATGTTCAATAAAACTGATTTATGCAATCCTATGTCCCTTTCTAATTTATCAATCTTTCATAAGAGCCTTTTCTAATATATAATGATTTTGTAATAACGAATTGAAACTGAATTCATCTTTGGGTTGAGCAGAAGGTAGCAACTAAGAAGCATAGATACAGACACGGGTAAACATGATACGAATTTGTCAATTTGAAAATAATATGGTATACTATTATATATATAAAATATATACTTTTAGCATTAATCATAAGAACCATTATCGAGGCCATATGAGCCATGGTGTGATCAGACATATGGCACTGGGCGAATTTGACTACACTTGTTTTTCATCACTAGACAAACCTAAATTACAGAGTACTTGAGATCAGCTATACGAATCCTTTTTCAGCATCAACTCTATCCAGGTATATATATGCTCTCAATAATTAATTCCTTATCATTTGAAATATCAAATACATTTTTGACCCACACAGCTAAACCATAAGTATGGCTTCTTTTTTGGCTCTATAGCTGTTTTAGGTTTTAAACTAAAGGTACAGACAACAAGGAGACGAGAATGTTGAGGTTCACTTGCTAAAAATATCTGAGAGTTTTTCCAGAAAAAAAAAAAAAAAAACGAAAAGAAAAGCAAAACAAAAAAAGAGTCATTTTCCCTGTTTCATCTTCCAAATTTCACAAGTTATGGATTTCAGTTCTGCAAGCCAATTTGCCAAAAAAAAAAAAAAAAAAAGGAAAAATTCAAATTTTAAGATATGCATGCCAATAATAACAATACCTTACTTAGAAGATATAGTGTCCAAGTCAACACTGAACCAGTGGTCTCATGGCCCGCAACTAACATTGACAAAAGATCATCTCGTAATTGTACACTTGAAACCTACAACAAAGAGAACTGTCATACTGGAAAGTGGAAACCAGGAAGCAAACCATAACATAAAATGGAAGCCTGGATATTTATTCATGTTCAAAGAAAATGAGATATTCGCATTTTTCTGAGAAGAAACTCTATGAAAAATAGAACTTCATTGATCAAAAGATTATAATTTTGTTAATATATACACAAGCTAGATTGAAAAGTTTGTCTGCCTAGAAATGCATCTCTATGGGTGGAAATGTCATGGACTACAAAACTGTGAACACCATTACTACTGACAAGCTTAACTTCAAAGTGCCCAAAAGATAGAACTTGAACACAAAGCTCATACTGTAATCAATTGTCTGGATTTTATTCCATTATTCTTATATTTGGGTGAGAAAGATGGGATATGCACAGAGATCTTAAGTTTGAATGTGATAAGCACAGCCAAACGTAAAGCAGATATTTCCGAAAAAAGCTTTAGGGAAAAAAATTGTTGCTTTGGGTTGCCAAATTATATACAAATGCAAACGCTCAACATTTCAGACAGACGAACAGTGAAGTTTTTCCTTATGACTTATGTTATGCTTCCACATCAAGAAGCCAGAAAATGTCGCAAGAATTAGAGTTTGACTTAAAATATGATAAACATACTATTTAAAATAAAGCTGCATATATTCTTTCTTACATTGATTATGCACATACGAAACACATAACACATGCGAACACAAATAGCCAAAATCCAAAAATGGGCTCATTCAAGCTGAATAAACTAACAACTTTCTTTCAACTCTAATTTCATTACAACACTCTTAATTATATATTGGAGTTATACAATACTCATTAACTCAGGTATAATACTCAATTATTTCCTACATTGTGATTTGGGAGATCTCCATATCAGCTCCACTCTTCGAGTTTAACTATTTGTATGCTCTCAGAGTATATGTTCCATAAAGAGAAATCAACCCATATTTGGATGTGTGAGTTTCATTCCAAGGAAAAAAAAAAAATCAACCCATCCTGGAAATAAAAAATTCTTAACATTCCTGCAAGCAGCCTATATGTGTCAAATTTCAGGACAAATTGTCTGACATTCTTATCCACCTTAAACTTCTTACATATGTGCATTCTGGGTATGTAAGTCAGCACACAGTATTTTGCAAGCAAACATTTTAAAGATATAAAAGTAAGGAGCATCCACTGACCTCCTCTCTACTAGCAAGCAAGAAACGAAGGATACTTGGATCTGCCTCATTTAAGTACTCCTCCTCATTAATCCGTTCACCTTCAGCTTCCACAATTTCTTTGCACTTTATAATGAGCTCTTCGACAGTTTGCCTGATCACTGTAACTGCTTTTTCAGCTTTTATTTGCCGTGGGATGATCTTACACAGAGCATTAATCTATAATAAGAAGAAAAGAGCCAAGTCATTACTATTAAATGATGTAAAAGATGAGGGGGGAGGGGGGGGAAAGAGCAGGAAGGGTGTACTAGTAAGAACCTGCCTTCCAATATGGTAAAAGGTCAGTTGAACGAGCCTCTGCCTCTTTCAGGGCAGTGTAAACTGCATCTATAACAGGACTATCACCATTAAGGGAATCAAAATTGTAGTTGAACACTGCTAGACCTATAACATCAAGTGTTAATTGAGAAAATTTTGCCTCCATGTTTACAGCTGTGCCATTGAGCGCATCAGATTTGAGCTTCTCCACCAATCTCTCAGCACATTTGCAAAACACCCGATCAACAATCACGGACAAGTACTTCTTGTGGAGAGATGGAACCACAGCCCTGCGCCTCGCCTATAAAAAAATCAGACTCCTATGCTCAAATAAATGGTAGAAAAAGAATGCATCACACCTAGTTTCCAAATATTAATCGTCACAAAACTGTAAGATTGTGAAATGAAATTAAATAGCATCAAGCATTTTTTAAGTCTGGATTTCCAAAAATGTTCGAATCAAGATTTACTTAAATTGGGTAAAGCAATTCTCAAACTTGTCAAAAACTAACTTTGCAATAAGCTTTACAAACAATATATATGCAATAAGCTTTACAAATAATCATGCTTAGACAGAACAAAAGATCCAACATTTTAAGAAATCCATGTTGTATGGAATTTCTAAACTTTACTTTTACATTAACACTTGAAGAGGAAGCTCCATCCACAACGAGGCCATCAAATTAAATGGAGCTTAACCCACATCTGAAAATATTGACATCAATCTTATGGTTTCGTCAAATGGCACTCTTTCAATTGTTCATCAACAATCAACATCCATTACATGAATGTGGTTTCTACAAATGACCCCATTTTACAACAATCTTTTATGGTGAATGGTTTATAATCACAATGAAGTGATTGAAACTCATTTGCTGTTCAATTCTACCTAAACAGAATCAAAATACTAAATCTTTCCAGCTCTATGAGACCTCAAAGAATAAAGAATACACACATACATAATTACAACACATCACAAAATGCTGCAATTACATTGCAAAATGAATTCCACAGAGAAAATTAATCTACCATACCAAACATACATAACTTTACAACATTAATTTGGACAATTAAGGCAAAAATCCGGCGCCATTACCGTCCAAAGCGGGCCTTCAGCAATGGCAAATCCTGAACCAAACAAGAATTCAGAGACTTCCGCGACAAGACCCTTAGCATACTTGCCATAATTTCTGAGCACATGCTTGGCAATGGCAGGGTCACTGACCACCACGAAATTCCTTGGCCCCGCGGCGAGGCGGTAAATGGGTCCATATTCTTTCATCCACTTGAATAATGGAAGGAAAAGAGCACCGCCCAGAAGCTCAGAGACGTCTTCTAGCTTGGCATTTGCAATGGGTATGTTTGAATCGTCGTCTTGCCCAATGGTTAGGGACCGAGTTAGAGAGGTGAGCCAGTCTGGGCTGACCCATGAGCTAGTTTTGGTACTAGTGTCGGTGGGTTTTTTGTTTGTGGTGGAGGGTTTGTCTATGGAGGATCTGATGGAGAGAGTGTGAGGTGAATTGGTTGGATAGGAAATTGTGGGTTTGTGGAGGAGGAGGTGGTGGTGGTGGGAAGGGTTTGTGAGAGAAGAAAGAGAAGAGAGAGTGTGTGAAGGAGGCATTGATGACGACGATTGAAGAAGGGTTTAGTTACTTGAGCTTGAAAAGGGGGTTTCTCTCTCCTTCCACCATAACTGGAATAGTTTTTATCTTTTTTGAGTCATCGGCGCGGTGTGCTGTAATCTCTGGTTATTGTGTTCAAGATTAGATACCTCCACCCCATTTTAGATGCCTTTTAAATTTGTGACTCAAACGTTTTAGATAACGTGTGAGTCACAAATCTCATTAACATCTAAAACGCGTGAGTCATAAGTCTCATAGTCTATATTTAAAATAAAATAAAATAAATATTAATAATAATGTGATCCCATCCGTCTATATAGTTGATCCCACACAATATGTTGATGAAAAAACCTAGTGATAATTATTTATTGCAATTGTTGAATAATTTCTGGATTGGTTGATCTTATTGTTAATCCATTATCAAATTTTAAGTAAATTTTTATTTTTTAAAATAATAATTTATTTAACTTTTAAAACTAAATTTTTTTTCAATCTAATAATTAATATTTCTTTTATCGCAAAATAAATAACCGCTTTGGAAACTGTTTATAACTCATGTCATGAAAAAATTTCATTGATTACTCGGGAAAAAAAATATATATGCATGCCAATTCAAAAAAAAGTTCAAACCACATGATTGACAATTTTTTCCCCCTAAATCAAGATGACAATTCAATTTGGTCAAAAAAAGAAAATAAAAATTTGAGGTGAATGTGTGATCTATTTGCAAATGAATTTGGTTATGCTTTTTTTTATTTATTTTTTCATCCCTTTGTTTCTGGATACCAATAAGCATAAGCCCATTAATCTTGTGCAATATATAGAAGAATTTGGGATGAAATGAAATCTGTGGTGGGATTTTTAATTAGCAAAAGTGCAAACAATCCTTCTGAACTATCACAAATCGGTAATTTACCCCTTTAGATTACAAAAATGAACAAGTCAGTATCACAATTATCTAAGTCGTGCAAATTAACCCCTGAAACGCAATTTTGGCCACTTTTCGGCCCTTGTTCTCACCTATAAACGAACTCATTTCGTCATTATGATCTCTCTCTCAAGTCAATTTATATATTTGTATTGCTATATATATATATATAGCAATACTCTAATTTGCTCCCAAGGGCCTGTTCGCTGCTCTAGTCGAGTTCACCGTCGTCCCGGATTGGATCATCGATGCTCGACCTAAACATTATCTCAATTGAATAACCTACGGGTTCTTGCCGACAATAAGAATTTCATCTCCAGCGAGGTTTCGCGCGACCCTAGGTCAGCTTTGTGCTCTACGAACCCTCGATCTCAGTTACAATTTTTGTTTTACTGTAACGAACTCGCGTATGGCCGCCATCAATTTTTGATTCTCCGTTTTTCAAATTGCCTCTGAAATTGTAAATGGCAATTTTATATATTTATTTATTTATTTTGGTTGGATTTTAGAAGTTGAATTATAAATAAATATTTATTTATTTTGGTTGGATTTTAGAAGTTGAAGTTGGGTGCCTGCTTTAGACTACAACTTAAAAAAAAAGAGGTTTGATCTCCAAACATGAACTTTTGATTGGAATTATTGTTTTAGTTAGATGTTATTTTCTTCTCTTCCACTTAGGTTTAATTGTGTATATATACACACACACAGTACTAAATTGATGTATGTATATAAACTACTTCAAAAAATTAACTTGACTAATTTCTAATTGCAAATTTCACAAAATCTAATTTCTATGCTAATTTTAACGGGTCTTAGAAAATGCCATTTTAATTGTGTTGTAATTAATTTTGATTAAATTGATATTACTTTGATAAATTGATTTGACAATTTCTTATTGAAGTTAATGTAATCAATATACATATGACTTTCTAATTACAGCAGTATTCAAATATTATTGAAGCCAACAATTAGCTTGCTTAAAAAAAAAAAAAAAAAAGAAAAAAAAAGGGCCAACAATTAGCATGCAATTCTTAATATTTAAAAATTATTTTTAGAATAAAACAATGCATGAATTAGCATGCAATTTTTATAAATTGCTATATATGTGAAGCCTCTGCCTTTGGTAGTCTCTGTCAACCATTATTCGGATTCAGTAATTTCATGAGTCAAATGAGTATTATAAAATAAATACATACATACATACATACATACATATATATATATATATATATATATATATATATATATGACAATACAAATATATATATAAATTGACCTGAGAGAGAGAACATAAGGACGAAATGGGTTCATTTATAGGTGAGGGTAATTTTGGAATTAAAAGAAAATGACAGGTCATGTGGGTCGGAAAGTGGCCGGAATTGCATTTTATGGGTTAATTTGCATGATTTGGATAGTTATAGTACTGACTTGTTCATTTTTGTAATCCAAGAAAGTAAATTGCCGATTTGTGATACTCAGGGGGTTATTTACACATTTGCCTTTTAAATTTGTAAGGCAGTGTTGTTTGGGCCTTTTAACAGGATTAAGCCCAGGTTATCTGGGCCAAGTTCACCTACTGACGGCACAACAAGTGTCTAATGCATTGGATCTCAAGTTGAGTGTTTTGTTGGTTAAAAGTTGTGTGTTGCTTGACACTTCAAGGCCCACTTTTATTGGTCATTTTGCTTTTCTCTCCTTCCATTTTTTTATTTTTATTTTTAAATTTATTTATTATTATTATTTTTACAATAACAAGGAAAATGAAAATATCAACCATTTTCTATGTTTGACTCTTTGATATAACTTACAAATTTTTTTACCTATTTGGGCAATTTCCTATATTTAATCAAATGATGTCAGTGTCTTCAAAATTGGTTGTAGAATTACGTATATTGTTTCGTAAAGCATAGCCATCAATTGGTCAATATATATAACTTGCATTCTCAGCCAAAATCTCTTTTGATAAGAAAATATTATGCTAATATTATTATTTAATTTGTTTAATGGTAAGAAATACATATTTTTGTCTACACTTGGAACCTCTCTCTTCCTCTTTGAAGATGGAAAGGTTATATCATTAAACTAGATATCTTTTGATTATTATTATTATTCTGTATGGTGTCTACGAGATTCCAACAAAATAACTAATACACTCCAATATAATAAGTTTAAAATAGTAGTTTTTTTTTTAGTAGATTATCCAGTCCAGTTTGCATATTAGTGATGCATTTCCAGGTTGCACATTGAATTGGATTTATTGATCAATTTAATTCAACTTAATTTAATCTTTAGATGTTGGTTATAATGGTAAGTTATTTGGGTTTGGTGACTCATAAATATTTGAATGCAAACAATTCTTTGGGACTTTATCCAACCTGTGTTAAGGGCACTGTGCTTTACACATGAATCCAATATAAATTTATTTAACTTTCTTTAGGCTTGGTTTGGTTAGATGGAATCAACTGTAAAAGAAAGGAAAAAAAATTTTAAATTTTTTTTTAAAGTTTGGATAGATGAAAAAAGAATCGTAACAGAAAATATAGTTTCCCGCATTAGACTAATTTCCTCCAAAACTTTTCTCACACACAAAACACGGGAAAATAATATTTTCTTGTGAAAACTACTTCTTTTTATTTGAAGTTCCTATTGTTGGAAACGGGGACACCTATTTTATCTAACAACTAAATCATGTAAAACAATTAACTTCTTTGTTTTCTAACTGAGTTTCTTTTCTACTAATGCTCCATTTGTTTGAACGTAAAATATTTTTCAGAAAATATTTTTTAATTTTATGGTATTTGGTTGTAGTAAAATATTTACGAAGAAAAAACAAAATTAAAATTTAACAAAAATAATTTATCCATCAATTTTTGGCAAGTTATTTTACATGTCCCACCTGATGGACTTGACCTTAATCGCAAAGAATATTTTACCTGAAAAATATTTTTCAAAAAGAATATTTACGTCGAAACAAACGAGTCTAAGTTTCAAATAGAAAAATTCTCTAATAATTTCTATTTGGACAATACTTAGATCCTCACTAGTGAGGATGTACGCCATTTTGACCGGTGATGTGGACCAATAATATATGAGCATATCCTCTTTTAATTATCAAATTAGATTTGGTAATTAATCATCATATCTGATTTGATAAGTGAATATATATCTCATCATTTTTTATTTGGTAATTAAAGATGACGTACTCATGTCTTATTGGTTCAAATCAGTAGTCAGATGGTGTAGAGAGGATCTACGTATATCTCTTTATATTTTAGTGGACTTCTATAAGGGAATTTCTCTTCAAACATGTTCTCTTGCAATACTATTTGGATGATATTTTTTTTTGGGTTCCAAATATATACATTGTATCAGAAATATCTATTATATATGCAAATATATATATATATTTCTTTTTGTGTTCTAAAGCCCATGAGTCCATGTGCCCAAATTTAATTTTTTTTTTTATTTTTTATTTTTAAACTTCCTTATTTCTCTTAAATGAATAGATAGTTCCACTTCTACAATTCTACTTAAGAAGTCTTGAAGTATTGTTTTAATTTAAATAATATAAATAATCATATTATTAAAATTTAATAATTCATCATTTTATTAACTTTGATAAAAATAGACATCATCAAATACAAATTTATTTATTTTTTTAGTATTTGAAATCATAAGGGTAATTTTGGTATGCACAATCACTTTTTTTTTTTTTTTTTTTTCATTTTCATGCTATCCAAACTAATAAACTAATATTTTCATACAATTTTTCTGAATAAATTTTCATACTAACTAAATGCTTGATAGAAAATAACTTTTCTTTTTCATTAACTTTACTTTTCTTTTAATTTTTCATTTCATTTCATTTCTTACTTATTTCTATGTAACAAAATAGAGCCTTAGACAATATAAGTTTATTTAACTTTCTTTTTTTGGTAATTTTGTAGACAATTTTAGGAGTGAAAATAGATAGCTTAAATGGCACAAGTTCGACAAAAAGTTCTCTCCCCTTAATATTTTTTTTCCTTATGGGCTTAAATTGAAATTTTTTTAATGGTTCTAAATATTCCAATTTTATTTTTAAAAAAATCCAGAATATCTCAGCCATGACCGAAAGTTTGAAGCATTTCAAAAAGAAAAAGGAAAAAGTTAATGCACGACTTTCTTGTTCTCATTTAATCGAGGACATCATGTGCCAACGAAATTGAATCATTGCCAACACAACAGACTAACCAAAATT